GCCAGCCTGGTCTATTTCTGGCCTGTCTCTCCCATTTCATTGTGTGTCACCTTTGCTTTTGTTGTGACTGAGTTTTAGCCACACTGGCCTGTCTTCAGTTCCCTGAGTGTACTCCTCTCTAGTCTCAGAGTCTTCTCACGTTGTGTTTCCTCTCGTGTTCCCTACAGTGTTTTCTCCCACTCTCTTTCTATAAGTTTAATTCCTCTTTTAGTTCTCGGATAAATTACTTCTTAGGGAAGCCTTTTTTGTCCATACGCTTCACCCCATCTCGCTAGCTGTCTCATATGCTTATGCTAACCCTTTCTTCCCAGTGTTTAATCACAGTAAGTATATGTTTGGGTATATATTCTTTAATGTCTGTCTTCTCCTTGCATATAAGCCCTGTAAATTCACAGATCTTGACGGTTTTGCTCAACTCAGTAAATACTTATGGAATGAATAGTAACTGTTCAGGGATAATTTGGGGCCCTTGGGAATAAAAATAATCAAATTCAACAATATTTAAATCATCTATTTGAAGGAAGAGTAGGAACAGATAGTTATGGCTCACTAAAAGTTTTCTGTTTGAGAGTACATAGAATTTTGTCATTACCCTGACATCGCTCTTCAAAAATCAGTATTACAAAAACGTTTGAGTCCCAGGATACCTAGGCCTCATTTCTAATGAGAAGCAAACCGAAAAGGTAGCTGAATCACCATATTGTGGAAAATCATAACACCTCCCCTCTGTTTAAGGAGGAGATGATAACAAAGAGTGGCAAGTTTCTGGGAGAAAGCAGTAATTAGAAGGATAGTTTTACCTAAGTGGAGTTCTCAATGAAGAATCTTTAGTTCCTTTAAAGTCTGAGCAGTTTATGATGCCCAGTTTAAGAAACACTCTTTATGTTCGTATTCTCACGGTGTAATTCAGGGTGTCATTAGTTCCATCCAACGTATCTGCTTCAAATGTTACTGCAAAACATACAGTTTTGTTTCTTTTCTTGAGAATTTATTCCCATTGAGATTAAAAATTATTAAATTATAAGTGGCTGAAGTACTTTACTTTTAATTTTAATGTCTTTTTCTTACCTTTTTGATGTGTAGAGTTGTAAAAATAATTAATTTGAATAAGGATTAACTTGAACAAAGTCTAGTTTATGTACTTTTTCTTTCTTTGATTAGAGAATAATTTGCAGTTCTAGGTTAGACATGGATGACAGTGATATACTTTAGAGTCACCAAGGTGGGTTTGTATTTGTATATTTCCACATCATTCTTTAAAAAATGAAATGGTGTAAATAAGTGCTAATGTTTCCTGAAGGAAGATGGCCATCCTGCTCATGCTGGTGCTCTTTGCCTCTAGATATGTTTACAGCAAACAGGACTCAAAAACAGGGACTGACGGTCAGATGTACAGTCAGCTATCCTTTAAACGATCATTAACCCACATCAGGAAATACCATAAAGAAGGATTTATCTACTTCAGCCAGCAGAGGGCAGTGTACACATAAAAGTACACTACCAATTGTAAGACTTCCTTTGGTTTCTTTGGCAAATGTGTTAAAATTCCTCAAGTGGTTTATGTTTAGAATTAGCAGTACTGATAGGACAGGAAATTGGCTGGGTGGGACAGTGGTTAAAGGGGTTCTGTCTAAAAGCTTAGATCAGAAATATGTGCTACCATAATGTTGCTGTTCTATGAGGAATGTCCTCTGTCAAACTCCATTTTGAATGACCAAATAATCTATCATGTGGGAAGTTAACTCTTTAACTATTGTTTCGATATAATTTCTACAAAAAAAAGAAGTTCGGTGGAAAAAGCATGGGTTTCAAAGTCTGATCTAGGCCATAATTCTGCAAATGCTACTTATTGGCTGTGTGATCTGTGGCAGATTACTTAAACTTGTTCAGTTTCCATTTCCTTACCTGCAAAATTTACATAATGATCTGCTAGGAAAAGATGCGGAATATAATTGACCTTTGTAAAACACATAGTTGTAAATATAAGTTGCTTTCTTGAATCAGAACTCGTTATTTCTTGTCACATTTATGCTGTTTATCTAATGAGGTTAAGTGATAGGTTTGAAAGCAGTATAATTCCATTATATAGCCATCTGAGGCTAATACAAATTTTCCTGAAGAAACTCTGTTATAAAAAAATGGTATGTTCAATAAGGGGTTCATATCCAAAATATGTAAAGAACTTATAAAGCTCAACACCAGAAAAAAAGCAACCTGATTAAAAAAGGGACAGAGGACCTGAATAGACATTTTTCCAAAGAAGACATGCAGATGGCCAACAGACACATGAAGAGATACTCAACATCACTAATCATCAGGGAAATACAAATCAAAACCACAATGAGATGTCACCTCACACCAGTCAGAATGGCTAGTATCAAAATGACAAGAAGTAGCAAATGTTGGCAAGGATGTGGAGAAACAGGAACCCTGTTGGTGGGAATGTAAATTGGTGCAACCACTGTGGAAAACAGTATGGAAAACAGTAATTTTCCTCACAAAATTAAAAATAGGAATACCATATGATCCAGTAATTCCTCTACTGGATATTTACCCAAAGAGATCAAAAACATGAATTCGAAAAGATATATGCAACCCTATGTTTATTGCAGCATTATTCACAATTGCCTAGACATAGAAGCAACCCAAGAGTCCAGCAATCGATGAATGAATAAAGAAGATCTGGTGTATATATACAAGGAAATGCTATGCAGCCATAAAAAAGGATGCTTTTTTTTTTTTTTTTTTTTTTTTGCCATTTGTGACAATATGGTTGGACCTAGAGGGTATTATGCTAAGTGAAATCAGAGAAAGGTAAACACTATATGATTTCACTTAGCTGTGGAATCTAAAAAACAAGTGAACAAACAAACTGACTCTTAAATACAGAGAACAAACTGGTGGTTACCAGAGGGGAAGTGGGTGGGTAGGGGGGGATGAGCAAAATAGGTAAAGGGGATTAAGAGGTACAAACTTCCAGTTATAAAATAAATGGGTGATGGCAATGAAGATATGTGCAGCACAGGGAGTATAGTCAATAATACTGTCGTGTGTGGTGACTGATGGTGATAGACACTTATTGTGGTGAGCATTGAGTAATGTATAAAATTATTGAATCACTGTGTTGTACACCTGAAACTAATATAACACTGTATATTCACTATACTTCAGTAATAAAATTTTTTAAGTGGCAAGTGTCTAAGAAATAGTATAATCAATAATCTTAATATTTTATTCATAGCTCCTTAACTACTAACATGCTCCAAAATTTAACTGGTGGCTATGAAATTTGGGATAGTCTGTAATCGTTCACTGCCATAGTTTACTCTCTGGGCATTTCCTAATTCTTTGTGTGTGTTTATTTTCCATGAAATATTTTCTTGCTTACTAGAAATTGGCAGAACTCAGGTCTTAGGATACATAGATGATACAATGACTGATAGTGATAGATTTGAAAGTGTTAAGGAAACCAGCAGTCAAACACTGGGGCAAGCTTGAGTAATGAGGGACATCAAGGGTTATGTTGCTTGAGGATACTCTTCTCCTTTTAGGTAAACACTTTGGTCTTTGAGATATGGAGTTGGAAAAAAAATCTGCAGATATTCTTGGTTGAGATGGGCAGGGAATGTGAATAGAGAGGAGTCATGAAAAGGTGATGAAAAATATGTAGAGTTGAATATCATCATCTCAAGTGTGAGCCCTGATAAACTGAAGATAGGATGAAAGAGAGAAAAAAGAAAAAGTTATCAAGTTTGCCATTTTCTTCAGCATCAAGGTAACATAAATTCTGAACAGTTGCAAATAGTAGATTTCATATGGAAGGGGTATATTTTAAATGCGTATTGTTCATAGGTGTATGATATTTACATGTATGGCATGTATGTAATAATGTTTGATAGACTACAGATAATAGTAATGTTTCATGTGGAACATTTTATGAACCATGATGTTTCCACTTAGATGAAATCGGTAGCTGACATTCCTGGAGTGTCTTGCTTACCCTGAAGCAGGACTTAATGCTGCGAGGTAATGGAGCAGCTCTTGCCAGATCTCTGACTGCACAAGAGATTTGGAGCTTTTAGGTTTTCCAGGAGTTTTTGTTATGAATGTCTTACTTCACAATCAGCCTTGTAGAAGAAGGCATTCCAGCACAGGACCCAAATACATACCTCACACTGATTATTCTGTACTCCCTGAGAGATGGATAAAATAGGAATGTTTTTCCTCCCAGAGGTTGCGTCTCTAAGGTTATAGCCTTTCCTAACTTTTTCCAGGAGCATATATTTCTCTGCCTCTAGATCCCTGTACCACTGAACACTTGGTCTGGTAGGGGCTTATCTTGCTTTTAGTCTATTCTGAGGAAGTCTTGAGGTCTGAACTACTCAGATAAATATACCATAGTAGTACATGTTTTCTTTTTCTTTTTATTAAGGTTTTATTTATTTGAGAGAGAGCGCAATAGAGAGAGCATGAACAGGGTGGAAAGGCAGAGGGAGAGGGAGAAGCAGACTCCCTACCGAGCAGGGAGCACGACGCGGGGCTCGATCTCAGGATGCCAGGATCATGACCTAGCCGAAGGCAGACACTTAACTGACTGAGCCACCCAGGTGCCCCGGTAGTACATGTTTTCTTGATAACCATTTTTAGCATAGGTCTTAATTATTACTTTTGGGTTTTCCAGGCTCCTGCTGTTCATTTCCAGTCTCTTACTCTGATCATCATATTCTCTGCTTTTTATCACCAGTTTGTCCTCTTTATGTCCTTTAGGTCAAAGACAAGCTATTTTGTTAAGCTGTCTCTTTGGTCTATGAGGAAGCCTATCTCCCATTGTGTTTCAGCTTTTGTATCCTACCTCTGCTTCCCCGGGTGAGCTGTGTATTGGCAGCATAGGTGGTCTAGACCCACTAGCAACTGAGCCTGAGTCGGTCTCCAGCCCGTCCTCAGCTGTCTTACTCTAAGCCTGCATGCTGGAATCTCTCTTCTCTTCTTCACCACTGCAGCTCCAGAACATTCCCTGAAGTAGTCCACAGTGCATTTCGAGATAGAGGTGATCATGCATGGCCTGGAAGCGGCACAGGGAGAAGAGAAGACAGAAGGCAGAGCTGGGAAGGACCTCATGTTGTGATTCCTCCTGTGTGGGAGAGGAAACGGAGAGGACATTCAGCAAACTGATGTGCAGTTAAATCTAACTCCCAGACAGTAAGGGGAAAGCCTCAGAATTGGGGAGAGTTTGAACCCATTTGGATTTTAGCCATCAATGCTGGCATGTTAGATTTGCATTTGAACAAGTTGAGTTTGGTCTCAGCAAGGAAAATAGACTGGAGAGGGAGCCACTGAAGGCATGGCAACTGGCCATTTAGGGGAAGAAGGCAAGCAGAGACACGGAAGCTGAAACTCTAGTACCGGCATTGTGGGCGAAGAGAAGTGGATTTGAGACATTTAGGATGCAGAATGGAAGATTTGAGGTCTGACTCCATGTGAGAGGAAAAGGGCGAGGCATTTGACCCAGGCTTCTGATTTCGATGACGAGGTGGAGCATGAGGCACGGAGCTGTGAGGAGAAGTGGAGCAGCAGGAGCGATGTCGGCATCTGGACAGAGCTCTAAAATATAACCGAGTAACGACATTTCTGCCAGGATTAAGCTAACGTAGCTCAGGAAGTGGACACGTTTTCTGGAGATCTTATTTGGTATAAGGACCGAAGTTAGAATACCTGGAGGAACAGACGATGGCATATCCCTTCCTTTCGGCTGACTCTTCAGTCAGACTTCTGGTGCAGTTGAAATGCGCAAGCCAAGGTTAAATGCTGGATTGTTCGATATTGCTGCTGTCCCAGGAACAGTCCTGAGATGTGGACCAGACTGGAGTCCTCCTCTGAAGTCGACGGTACTCCTAGGATTATGGTATCCCTCAGGCATCCTTGCGGCTCCCTCGATGTCCTCCTGGTATAAAAGTTTTGTGTCATTGAAATAATCCTCCTAGTTGCTAGAACGAAGTTAATAGTACTTCTGATCCAGTTCTGTTGCTTTGTGGGTAGGCAGCTCAGCTATCAAAGCCTTAGTTTATTACCTGGATCCCCAGAGATACTCCTTGAGTTGAGGAAAAAGCTCTTGTGGAGAAACCCTCATTAGTTGCAGTTAAGAGTATGGTATCAGGGGCCAAATAGGCCTGTGTTTAAATCCTGGCTCTGTCACTTACCAGCTGTGCTCTCTTGGGCCTGTACTCTTTAATTCCTCATCTGTAAGGGACGCTAGTAGTGTACTTATCTCTTAGAGCTGATGAGTTTCCCTAAAACATTTGTATAGTTTTTGGCCCATAATAAATACCTAGTAAATGCCACCTTTCACTTGGTATTCTTTAATCATATACCTACAGGTTGATCAGATAAGATTTATCTTTTATCTTTTGGAAATTATATAGCCTGAAGTTAGTAACCATTGGCATGTTTTCATGTGTTTGCAGGAGTATATAATACACTTAGTGTCATAAAATTTAGGTAGTACTTTTTAGATTCAATACTCTACCTTTATTCTCATGGTTTATTTTTTTAATGGCGTGATTGTAAGAAGCAATACGGCATGAAGGTTAAGAGCTCAGTCTCTGGAGATGTATTTGTATCTTGGCTTTTTTACTCAAGAGTTGTGTGACCATGGACAAGTTAGTTAACCTTTCTGTGCCTCAGTTTCCTCATCTGTAAAGTGGAGACAATTATAGTGCTCTTCTTAAACTGTCATTATAAGGGTTGAATGAGTCCATGTATATAAAGTACTGGAACAGTGCCTGGTATGTATGTAGCCCTATACCTGTTATTGGGTCATATAGTTAAAGTGCTCAGGCATGGTAGTTTTTCTCCTTGTGCCAAGAAAATGGATGTTGTTACTTCTTACAGTCTCTAGGGTAGTATTTTTCTTTTCATTAATTCCCTTACTGAGCTTGCTGAGGTACTCATCAAATGAGGAGCTAGCAGGCACAGCAGGAGTATGGGAAAGGGGTTCCAGTCCGAGGTGGTGGGCTGACAATGCAGGTTGTCCTTTGTTCTTCCTGAGACCATGAAAAAGATAATAAACTCACAAGAGAACGAAGTCTTCACAGCAGAGAGAGCAAGAGAGATGAACCAACAAAATTCCTAGGAACGGAAGGTAGAATCCTATGGATAAGTGAAATGGAACGCAGCCCGCAGCACGGAATGGCAGAAGGGGGCCACAAGGAAGGCCTTTTTTCTTTTTTTGTAATGAATCAGGAAATCTGGGCAGGTTTAATAATTTGGGTTTTGTGTGATTTTTTTTTTTTTTTAAATTGGCAAAATAGTTTCTGAATAAACAGATCAGTCAACGTAATTTTATTTTGGCTACACCTGGGCTTTTATTAAGTATTAGATATGAGGAAAAGGACAAAGATACTCATCTCATACAGGAATAAGGAAAAATGTAAAAAATATTTTGAAGATTGTTGTATTCGAGATAATATTTGTAGATACCATTTTGATGCTGAAACCAGGATAAAAAATTAGACTTTGTATTTTCTAATTGTCTTTACATTTGTTCTCAAAATCACATCAATTTACATACAGTAGAATCTGAATTTACGGAAGTATGTAGGAAGTGAGATTTTATTTCTGATTAGATTTATTTTCACACTTTGAGATGGCTAGTGAAATTGGATGAGAAGCTGATTAGCCGTCAATTTTCTAAGGTGAAGTAGAACATTCTAACTCAGATTTATATTTCCAGTGCCGAACATCAGTCTGAGCCCTAGTCCTTCCCTGTCTCTTAATGTCTAAAGTGGAAATCACTTGTTTAGCCTCTTCATCTACTCTGGTTACTTAAAGTTGCCAGGAATATTTTATTTCATGAACTGAATATGGATATACCTCCAAACAGTTTTGTCTGTATAACATCATACAAATGCAATCACTTGTTGTTAAATATCTTTGGAGTAGAAGCTTCCTTGTGTGATGATTCTTACAGTTACAGGTGATTTCGGTTTGTGCTAAACTGTGAATCTGAAGATGCATGTTGTTGTCTCGACTTGTGTTGCCCAGGTTGGTTCTCTTTGCCCTTTCTGGATCTCTGTTTTCCCAGCAAAAAATATTTGTTCTCTCTGTGCAGAGGATTGTTGTGTGAATCACACGAGGTGAAGCAGATGAAAACACTTTTGGATACTCAAGCATGATACAGATATAGACCAGTGGTGTATTTCTAATTCAGATAATGAAGAAAAACAAACATGCACCAGAGGGCGGGATTTTGCTTAAAGTAAATGACTGCTTTGGTTTCCAGCTAACTAAAGAAATAACTCAAACATCTTTGTTTTCTATATTTTCCAACCAACCAGAACCGGGACCAGTATTCACATCTGTTAAGTGATCACTTTCTCCCGTACCAAGGTCATAATTCCTTCCGTGAGAAATATTTCAGTGGCGTTACAAAAAGAATTGCCAAGGAAGAGAAATCTAGCCAAGAGTGAAAATTAAGATTTTGACAATGGAAAGAGTAAGGATTTAACAGAAAAGACATCTGGATGTGAACTTCCATGTATGATACAGATAACATATACTCTTTTAAATAATTTTATATAACGAAATAAATGCTCCAAAGTAAATTGAACAATTCTTTTACAATTAGCTTTGTTTTATAGATTATTTTGTTGTATGTGGTCTTTGGAACCTTATTTAATTTATATTTGTACTTTCAAGTATTATGGAAATTGAAAACAGTTATATTTTTGGTAATTAATTTGCAAGGGGAACTGATATTATTGACTTTTAAAACAGATACCTGTCGATACGTTATAAGCAGTGAACTAACCATGGTTAAGAATTTATTCATTCAGTAGGTTCGTTTATTTGGTTTCTGATTGTAATTGATTTATAGTGCTAATAAAGCTTACTGAGGATTCCTAAAACTGTGTTGTATTCGCTGCTTTTCAGGGGGGAGGTGATAAAGGAAATGGACTTTTATTTATAAATTCCAGACTAGTATGTAATGACAGTGATAATGGTAAGGAGGAGAAAGGCGAGGACCTGGCAACCTGAAAAGCTCCCCAACTCCTTGAGGCCTGTCCACATCTGAAGCTCGGCTGTACCTTGGACTTGCTCTTGCATTCCTAGACATTGACTGTCGGTCAAGTTAACTACCCACAATTTTTGGTTTAGAAAGTAACCGATAGTTAAGAGCAGTAACAACAACACAAGTCCTTGATGGTTCCCTAACGGTATTAAGCCTAATCAGAGCTCTTTGAAATAGAAGCTATATTTTTCTTGAAGGAGAAACTTTGCTGAGTCTACATTGTGTCCATCATGAAAATATCTTGTTTGAAAACCACTCTACCCATTAATTCAGGATGCTAATAGCTTTCCTGCCCTCGGTGGTCAAATGTACCTCAGCAGGGTGGCAGTAAACGGATCCTCTCCTTCTAACCATAGCCTATTTTTATTTATGCTATTATTATTATTTTAGTGTTACTGCTGGCTTTTATGGACTTCCAATTTGAATCTGCATGGCTTAAGACTTCCAAAAGACCTGCCCAAGCAGAGAGAGAGGAGAGAGAGAGAGAGAGGAAGCTATCTGCGTAGTTCTCTCTCCTTTTCTTGTCCTGCAACCCTGCATCTCAGCAGCTGATCTCAAACATTTCAGTGATTGTTTTGTTTGGGTTTCTGGATGTGATTTGTGGTACACTGGGGGAAAGCTAAAAGTATTCAAGCATAATTTATTTTCAGTATTTCTGTTATTAAACCATCTTATTTAAAATTTTCTGAGGTTATATGGAGGGTGAGTTTGCAACTCTGTAGCTGACTAAATTTGGAATATGAGATTTTAGCCTTGCCCTGTTTTGTTTTTTGCTTATCACAAAAATTAGTCCAAATAGTTCTGGAAAAGTTACAACGTTAATTTTAGTCACTTTGTCCTTAAAAATTATCTAATATTTAAAAAAATATTTCACATTATTTCTTATTACTACCAGCTGAGGTCTTCTGATTTTTAATTCTTCATCATCTCTATCATCATGTTCAGTCTCCTATTCTTGAACTATCACTAGGTAGGCTCAGAGTGTAAATGTGTGTAGTTATTTTGAGTAGTTATATATTGGTACTCAGAAGTGAAAAGGAAACCTGGTCACTTTCAACCAATTTTTGTTTTAGAGCAGAGGTCTCAACTCCTCTTATTCTAAAAAAAAGACTTCATTTTCTGGCATCAGGATCTTATTACTTTCTGTATAAGTTATAGCAGATCATTTCCAGAGTGTTTTGGTTGTATGTGTGTTCCTCATGCACTTACCAGGAGAGTATCCCCTAGCAAAGTGCCTGCCTTTTGGATAGTCCTGTAGTATGAATTTATAGTATAATCTGTGTGAACCCTAGGTGGTCTGTTAGCTGGCCTATTTCATGTATATAATATGACAAAATCTATCATTTTGTTTCTGGCATATATTAAATACCCATAAAATCCAGATGGGTACCTTGGTGGTGTTTCATCAGAAGTAACTTTTTTCCTATCCATTCTGGTGGGGATTTATTTTTGCTATGATAGCTGAGAGGAAATAGTGGAGTGGATGGTCTTTGGTGTGTTTATTAGCCAGAGTGGCCAGCAGATTAAAAAAAAAAAAAAAGAATTAAAACCTGCTACAAGTTTCTCAGCCACTTCCCGCCCATGGTGACCCAGGTTTTGGCCAGCTCACCACTAACTTCCTTATGACTAATTCTTTAAATACAAAGATTGAGCAATAAAACATTTCAAACTCTTTAAATTCTGGGAGGTAAGTCAGTGTTACCACTATTTCCTTGTGGAGAAAACTCACTTAAAATTTGAGATTCCCTTCATATTTAAGAAAAGTGGTGATTACAACTAGAAAGAACCTTATTTCAAGTTTGTTGGGACAGTCGAGTATGAGTTAACATACCAGATGCATTGTAGTGAATGTGTTTATATTATTGGATGAAAAATGTGCTTTAGAAGTTTGAGACTTAGAAACAGCTTTTGAGGTAATATGTTTTATACTCTTATAATTAAATTAAAGAAGCAGGGGTTTGACTTTTTTTTTTTTAAAGCATCAGGAAATTAGATATTAAGGTTGTATTATCTAGATGCCAATATAAGCAAATCTGGCTCTTGAATCAAAGGCCTCAGTTGTTTTGAGTTAGGAGAACTGCTGACATCCTATGCTGGAAGTATTATCAGGTATTGATAATCCAAAGAAATATGGAATTAAATATAATGTTTATGTGTTGGAAATTGAATGTGACATTTTTTTTGGGAAATGATCTTTCTATACCATTTTAGTCTCCCTAAAAAAGCACAGTGGAAGTAAGCTGATGTTAATGGTTCTACTAGAAAAAAAAAATTCTTTGTAGCTAAAGCAGGGCATAAGTAAATAAAGTCATTAATGGAGTATAGGGGTGGAAATGGAGGTGGGTGTTGCTGAGAAAATTGATGACTTCATTGTTGATTTTCCTGTTTGACCAAAAGGGAATAAATTATAGCAGAATAAGGACTTTGGCTCTTTTTACAAGAGCATGGTTTTGCTCCATTATAAAGTTATTTAGAAAACTAAACACTTGTAAGAATCTTTATTCTTAGAAGGATTGTATTCATAGAATAAGTGAAGTCTACTTTCATTTCCAGCTCACCCACTCCCATTTTTCTCAGATATTTATCAAGTAGTGTGGTTTGTAATCCAAACAAAAAAAAAATGCCTTAATCCAGAACATACACATGGACACAATAACACTAGACTGATGATGTTTGTACTTTACTAAAACATTGAGATCTTCTCTAAAACAGAGTGGTTTGAGAACATAAGGTCTAGAGTGTAAAGAATTATAATGGAATGATAAACATATCTGTGATTCTATCTAGCCATAGAATCATAGAGACAGCACATTCCTGTCTATCCTTTGGGGTGAAAAAGCTTACTAGGGAACCTGACCCTATTTCCTTAACAGAGGCCTGCCTCAGGATGTTCATATGTTTCACTGTGTGGAATAAGCAAATTGACGTTTAGACATAACTGAGACCAACCTGGAATTTGGCTCTTACCCCTTCCTTCATAAGCCATTGAAGACAGGCTCTTAGGGGAATGGAGGCTAAATTGTCATGGCAGTTTCTTAAGAAGCCTGGGTCATGGAACAAAATGGAGCTTAATAGATGAATGTTAAGATAAGCCAGGCTCACTTTCTGTAACTGCCAGCCTTATTTCTTGGGATATTAGGATGTACTCAGTGTATTTTTGTCCTAGAATTTGAATGTTCTTACTAAGATAATATTGCAGTGATGCCAAACTGAATTGCTTAAAAAGGAATCTGCTTTGACCTCTACGCCTTTAAAATCTCTCCTTTAATCAAGCCTTCCTGACTCTCTCCTGAGGGCTTATTGGAAGAACTCTTATTTTGTCTAACATCCAGCGGTGAAGATTAGCGGGGCTTATGTGTGAAGTTAGTCAAATTAAGAGGAAAAAAAAAAAAAAGGCTGTGGAGAAAATTAGAATTGAAACCTCTAAATGGTACTTGAGTTGGGTTTTGATGGACTGTACAAATATTTTATCTAATGTGTTATAAGTTTGTGAGGTGGATCAGATGATCAAAACCAGTATTGGTAAGCTTTAGAAATCTGTGAAAGCTCCTTAAATATGTATTTATTTATTTGTAAATCATGGCTGGAGTATCTCACACAAGTCTGAGTGCTGCCAGCACAAACATCGAAACTTTCTTTTTTTGCATTATCTTATTTTTCTACAACTTACACCTATGGGGAAACAATTCTCCATAGATATCTTGCATTTCTGTATATTTAAGGAGGTACCGACACTCTGCACCCTAGACTGCCTTTCTGGGGATGTGGGCACACCACTGAAAGATAGAGTGTCTCCACCTCCTTTGCCCACGGCTCCCCCTTCTGTAAAAACTATTAGCAAACTACTGTGCTTTTGCCAAAGTTGAACACCTGAGCCATCCGACCTCCTGTTTCCATTGTGGAGGAGATGAAACAGACTCATAACTGTCAAGGTGAGAAGGGCCCAACAAGCCTCATTTGTCAGATGGAATTGGTATATTCAAAAGTGCAGCTGGCTTCACCCCAGTGGCAACTTGGATTAACATGAAAAAGTGGCAGCTACTTGGGGCAAACTTTATCTCTCATACCGTTGCCCAAGACAAAGGCACTGGCTCAATGGCATCTTTGGTTCATAAAGGTTACATTTCAGGGCTTTAAAAATACATTTAGGTTGTTGCATTTAGGAGATTCCTTCAAATCTGCCTCTTTCTCTGTGGATTGGCTATACGGTAGCCCAGTGGTCTTCAGAGGGCTGCTATGGCTGTTTCTCTCAGTGCCAGATATCAGCAATGGGAATGGAGGTGGTTGGCCAGGTCGCGGGCAGAACGCAAAGCTATTCTCATAGCTCCAGCCAATACCCTCCTTGCTGAGCCTTGTTATATTTTTATCGACTCTTAGGCTACTACTAGTGTGACCTATGG